TAACAGGCATAACAGGCGTAACAGGCGTAACAGGCATAACAGGCATAACTGTTGTATTTGGATTTGGATAGATTTAAACAAAGTAGAAAATACGATGAGACTGTGTTGTATCTTTATTCAGAATAAAGTGAAGAGAAAAGAGATGATAGCACAATCTATAATTATATATTAAGAAGCTGAGGTATTTAAACTGAGTTGACTATATTTGATTAAGGTGTAACAGATCTTATAGCAACATTAGGCTCAACTCTAGATATTGTATTTAAGCACTTAATAGTAGCGTGGATACTACAATAACAAGCGTAACACTTTCGTACAGTTTCAAACGTCGCTGTCCATCCCTATCGATTTACTTATCATTTTACCTTTGTAGAAGTAATGAAGCGGCTTAAGCTGATTGAATGCCCTTGGCTAATATTTAAGCCCTGAAACGTTACATGTTTTCTCTATTGCGGCATTTGTCCCAACAATGAAATGAATGAGAAACGAAGCCGTAGAAATCGCTCAACATCAAGCTGTTACAAGCGTCACTGATTCTGGTCGATAAGGTCTCTTTTTCCAGAAATCTATGACGCTTAACTTTACTTTTAGCTACAGACCAGAATTGTTCAATTGGATTGAGCTCAGGGGAATATGAAGGGAGATAAGCACAACGATATCCTCGCGACGTAATATACTTCGCAATATCTTCAGACTTATGAATAGGGGCGTTATCCATAACGAGATAGTGACCTTTCATTTGTGGATATTTGTCCATTTCGTCCAAAGTGTCTTTCAAAAAGCTTATGTAATGTCCCGTAACAGTACCACTACTGACATATCCGGATTCCTGTCCAGCTTTTCTCTTCTTAACAGGCCTTGGTATTCTCAAGCTTATTTTAATTAAACCTGAAGCAGAGATAGCACCCAATATAGTCGTAGTCTTTGCTCTCGTAGTTGGCACTGTAACAATAGCAGGAGTGCCTTTCTTAGACCAAGCCCTTGTACGTTTCATGTTTATATGAAATGCAGACTCGTCAAGAAACACACAATTGGTCAAGAAGTCCATATCAGTTTGTTCCCACTTGCGAACCCAATCATGTCGTTCCTCAATCTTTTCCGGGCTATTTCTCTCTACCGAATGAAATTCTGCTTGCTTTATCGAAAGATTACATTCTGTTCTCATGAGGTTATAAACAGTGCTATTAGTGACCTTAAGACCGTCGAACTGTTGCATTAAATGCTTAGTTACTTCAGCGACAACAGCAGAGGGATTAGCATCGATAAATTCAATAACGACCTTTACGTGTTCCTCAGTCAGAATGCGTCTACGACCTTTCTTTTTTCCGCTGTCAAAGATACTATCAGGACATTCCTCATACTGCTTAACCCATCTCTGGGCTGTGCGAACGTGAATGCCCAATTGTTTCGCTGCAGCAGAGGCACTCATACACTTCTCAATCTTCAGCTTAAAGAATCTAGACTTGTCCTGAGGAGTGTAAGAGGTATAAGTACGTCTTTCCATTGCTTCTCTCATACGAGAGTCCTCATCTCTAGGCTTATCTACTTGCATCGCGTTAGTTCGAGATTTCTCAGCGGGCTTTTTCTGCAAATATTGAGCATGCGAACTGATCGTCTCAAGAGCAAATTGCTCCTGGTCAACGATGTAATCCATAGGCTCGGGTCTACCGTTCTCATCAACTACATTTCCTTGTCCATCTTCGTATAAAAATTGCGCGCTCATGTTTGGATTGTAAAGTAGTAGAAACCAGCAAAAGAGCAGTAGCGTCGATATATATACCCAGGAGTGCCAAGAATTTCTCCGCGACAAATTTATTCTCAGTATGCGACATTTGATTCCCAGGCAGAGTGCCATCTATTTTTGAAAATGCGACTGGCATTTTTAAACCAGCGACATCGATTTTCGGAGCCTGCGACTTTACTTTCTAAAAACACTGTATATAAAATAAACAAAAAAGTGTAGCCTATCTCTTTTAACCCTTTTCAAGCCGCGCATCGTGGACAGTATTATGGAAAGTGAACACAATGTACAACAAAGCCATCTCTCCCCTGAGCAAATCGAAGAACTGTACCAGCAATTTGCCACTCGATTTCGAATCGAAGAAGAAGAACAACGAAAACACCATCAACTTACCCTCCCAGAGGCCATTCAGACAGACCTGGAAGAGACTCCCAAATTGGAGATGCAGTCAAACATCAAAAAATACATCCGCGACCTTCCCAACTACGAAGGAGGTGACTGGACTATCAATGAGACAATCAATAAAGAGTTTACACCTGACATCAAGCGATTCCAGATCGATGCTTACCAAGCCCTTCAAAGTCGTTACAAAGATGCGGAAAGAATCAGCAACACAGCAAAGGCAGCCACAGATATCTACAAAGACTAAGCCTACATATCCACGCATGACGCAGATCCAACCGCTTTCGTAAACATCATCGAAAAAGCAAGAAGATGGGCGATTTATGACTTCATCACAGCAAGGGATATCGATAGAGAAGCACGAGATTTGGCCATTAAAGCACTTAAACTTCCTCCCACCCTTAAATACCTCGAAGCAAGTCAAGAAGAAAACAAACGAATGGCATTCTCTCCCGAGTCTGTCAAGGAGATTGCCCAAGCCAGATTCGAAACAGCTCTTTTACAACGAGCAGCCAACAATCGATTCACGAGTTATAGACAGGGGTACAACAACCCCCGAGGTTCAGCTCATCGAGTTAGAGGACAGGGAAGAGGACGGTATTTTTTTGGAAGAGCCAATTACAAACAACAGCAACCAACAGAGAAGCTCCAACATACGAATTCAAACCCAGCAAGTCAGCAGCAGTAACAGATCAATCAGTACATCATGCACCGTTGCCAATATCTTTAATTTCAACCTTAGCACAAACAGACAGACACCTAACACAAAAAACAACAATCAGCAACAATGCGACGATACAATTCAACAATCACAAAGACTACAACACCATCAAAACCATCAACACAATCAACACTCCAACCAACAATTACTCAGTACCACTAGACGGAATTCTTCCTGGCGGGAGGTTGCAGCGATTTTTACCATATTGGCAATCTACTATTCAACATCCATGGCCATTATCGGTCATTTCGGAAGGTTACAGAATCCAATGGGAGACCAAGCCAGCAGCCTGGAAGACCGCACCATTGCGACTATCCGACGAAGATCACCAAGCAGCAACAATAGCCGTTCAACAATTCCTCGACGCCGGTATAATAGAGAGATCACCTACGCAGAACGAAGACTTCCTGTCAAATTTCTTCACCATACAAGAAAAGACAAAGAGGCGACCTATTCTCGACTGTCGAAAGTTAAACGAATTTGTACAATGTACGCATTTCAAAATGGAGGGTATACCAGCGTTAAGGGATATCCTAGAAGAAAAGGATTTAATGTGCAAATTAGATCTAAAAGATGCATACGTCGTGGTGCCCATGCATCCAGACTCCAGACGTTTCCTTACCTTCAAGCACAACAACGTAGTGTACCAATACAGATCATTGGCTTTCGGGCTAAGCGTCGCTCCGCGCGTATTTACAAAGCTAATGCGGTACGCAATAGAGCCACTAAGACAACAAGGCATCCGACTAGTCTATTACTTAGACGACATTTGTTTACTCGCAAAGTCAGAGGCAGAGATGGGAAAGGTCAAGGAAACTGTAATCAACCACTTGGAAAAACTTGGTTTCCTGATCAACTGGGGAAAAAGCTCGTTAGAACCATCCCATTGCCAAGAATTCCTGGGGTTCCAGTTCAATACAAAGAAGATGCAAATCACAGTCCCGCAACCGAAGATCAACAAACTATTAGCAAGAATCAAGCAAGCCAAGAACAAGACAATCACCAGAACATGCAGATGGATGGCGAGCTTACTGGGGAAGATGGTGTCATTGATTCCAGCGATCGGAGAAGCTCTACTACATGTACGTTACCTACAGAGGGACGTGAGCTTGGCGCTCAAGAGAGGCTCTCGCAAATGGGACAACCTATGTCCACTGTCACATCAGGGTTTTCAAGACCTTCTTTGGTGGGAACAGTGGATCAGACAGAAGAACGGATTACCGATACAAACATTACAGATGAACCTTCAGAAGATCGACCTGGTAATTCACGTAGATGCTTCAGACAACGGATGGGGTGTTCATTCAAACCTCATACAGACTTCCGGATTCTGGACTCCAGCCGAAAGAGACCTTTCCATCAATGTGAGGGAATTGAAGACGATACTTTTTGCCTTACAAATGCACGGTCCAAGCGCAAGAGGTTAGAATATCAAGATCTACACAGACAACATTACCGCACTCAAGTACGTTACAAAGTCCGGAGGTACCGCTTCTCTCTTTTTACAAGACCTAGCAATACAAATACAGGAAACCATCAACAAATACAACATGACAGTCCACTTCCAACACATTCCTGGTATACAGAACATACAAGCCGACAAGCTCAGTCGTCAGAAAACCCCTCTGTACGAGTGGAAACTTCCCAAGAAATATTTCGAAATGATCCAGCAACGCTGGGGGAGGCGCAAGATCGATGCATTCGCAGCTCGTCACAATCGCCAATTGCCAACATTTTGGAGCCTCAACCCGGATCCGGAGGCAGCGGCGACGGATGCATTCCGACAACAATGGCCTCGCAGAGGATTATATCTTCATCCCCCGTGGAAACTCATACCGAAGGTTATACAAATATTCAAACTGCAAAGAATAGCCGAAGCGATCCTGGTGACCCCTTACTGGAAGACACAATACTGGTTTCCAATGGTCTTACAAGTGACCAAGGAACCCCCTCTAATCATGAAAATCAACAAGACGTGGACTTTAGCCGCCTGGAGATTATCTCAGCGCACAACAAGGATGAAGGCCTGGACGAAAACAGCATTCAATTTTTACAGCACACCCACAGAAGACGTACACACCAGCTATACAACAGAGGATGGAGCTTATGGGCAAAATGGTGCCAACAACAACACCCTCCCGTTAACCCTCGGGAATATGAACCCAAGAATGTGCTACGGTTTCTAGTGGCTCAGCAACATTATTCACGCCAGTACTTAAACGTGCTGAGGTCATCTATTGCATCTGTTTTCAAGGTCATACACAAGGATAAACAACCATTAGCAAATCAACAACTTATTCAAAATTTTTTCACAGCCAAGAAGAAATCCGAAGTCAAACTGCCCTCTCAGCAAGAAACATCCACTTGGGACCTCGATATATTGTTACAATATCTAGTTCGCCAATTCCAAGATAATGACTCACTATCCCTCACTCAACTACAAGACAAGGTGATCCTGCTGCTTTGTATTGCGACAATGTTCCGTCCACGTTCTGATATAGGCACCTTACAGCGTAGAGACGTAGAATTTACTTTCGAAAATAATAGCAGTTCCCAAAACCAGACCGTGCTCGGCATGACACTGTACATTAGGCAACCAAAGGAAACTCAAACCAAAACAGCAAGACTTGGACGGCTAGATCTTGAATCTATGTGCCCAGTAAGAACGACATGGCTATTTATAACCAAGACCGAACACCTTCGTCACGAGCTTCCTGAGGATCATTCGCTATTCCTGGCATACTTGATGGAACCCAGAAAACTTCGCCCACTCAATCCAATTTCAGTAGCGAATATTGTTAAGAAACACATGCAAGCTGCAGGGATAAATACGAAGATATATGGCCCACATTCAATACGTTCAGCAAGCAGCACGATGGCCGCAGAAGTAGGCAACGAGATAGATAAGATAAAGAAGCATGCCAATTGGAGCCTGTCTGCCAACACATTCGAACGGTTCTACTACAAACCACCTCACCAACAAGCTGATAGCAAGAAGATTACAGAGTCCATTTTTTCTTTTTGTCCTGAAAATCATACCACATCCGAAGTCTGACTGAAGTCAACTGGAATTGGGTTAGGCACGTCAAGCAATACTACAGTTGACGAAAGGAGGACAGAGGATGTGGTCACCCAGCCCAGATGGTATGAAAGATTTTTTATGTATCTTTAAGTTGCCCACCCTTTATATATATTTAAAAAGAAAAAATAGAATGCTTAGCTTGGAAAAGGGTTATAAGAGATAGGCTACACTTTTTTGTTTATTTTATATATTTTTCAAATAAAAAGCGCGGCTCGAAGAGCTTATACCACATCCTCTGTCCTCCTTTCGTCAACTGTAGTATTTGCTCGCTAAAAGCAGTTTACGTTAATTGTGAGCTCATTGCGTCCATTAGTTCATTCATTCATTCAGTAGTTTGGAATCTAGTTTATTGTTGTCCTTTGATAAAAGTATAAAAGAAGTACCTTATTTAAAAGGAATAAAAAGGAGAGAATTCTTTTTTTTTTTTTTTTTGAAATTCTTACTACAAAAAAAAAACTTTTTTTTATCTTCAAACCTTTTAACTTTTATCAAGCCTCTTCACTTATCTGAAGTACTTGATAACGTACACTCGCCTGTTTATCTGTATCGCCTATTGCTGAATTCTGGTTGCCAACTCATACAAAATAGGCTCGAGGATACCTTGGTACCGTAGTGAATTGAAGTGAATTAACAATAACACTTGTGCAGATAACTATTTTACCTTATTTGAATACCTCTTCTCCCGCAAGTACTCCTTCAAATAAGGCCTACCGAACTATCGCGCAATTTCATAGCTAAAAAACAATCGGCGACCGGTTATCAGATGATTGTCGTTTTCGAAATTTTACTTTACCTGTTGATTAATAAGGCCCTATTGTGACTTTTTCTAAATGTAGACAGTTGTCTATTCGTACCTTCTCTTTTTTCTTAAGCGCTGTATTTAACTAATGGTTAGTCGTAGTTACGTATCTATTGAGGTTATGGCAATTAACACAATTATATCCGTTAATTTTCTGTAGTCGTAATCCTTTCTGGAAACTTGCGAATATGCTACAACTGACCATCCATAATACTATGATATATACCATTAATTGAATCTTCCTTACATGTAAGCCTTTGTCTATACACTGTATTGATATTCTATCATTGAGATTACTTTATCAAATAAGTTTATTGATTTGATGTCCTTAAAACAACAACAGAAATGCATCGGTTTTCTTTGTTTCAGGACCACTCATTACTGCAAAAAAGTTCAGCAAAGTCAAGTCAGTTCACAACACAAGCATCTCATAATATCAGTAAATATATATATGGTATTTTAAATTTAATATCGTAAATGGAGACCTTCGCATCGGCAACATTTTAATTATCATTGTAGGTATAGCTCGATCTTATTTCTTTACTTCTTTTCTTCTGTCTGTCTTTCTTTGATTATCACAGGGTATTGAGACAAGCTTCTTCCTTCATAGCTTTAAAAAAAGAGCTTACATGAAAGGCAAGAATAAGCAAACAGCCACTTCTTCACAACAAAAGCAGTTGCCCAAAAACGTAGTGGAAGGTAAGATATATATACAAATGATTGACTTTTATTATATCTAATGCTGACAATAAAAATCATAGTAATGTAGACAAATATGAGAATGTGACAGAAGAGAGCTCTGATCATGATTTTCAGCCAACCATAACTAGAAAAAGGAAATATATGTATAAGCACAATAGGTCATTTAGACAATAGTCGTCTCAATATGACAACAATATAGGTAGGGAACCTAGGTTTGTGACACTTATTTTCTGCTAACAGACATTTGTTTTTCGATAACGCACAAAATTTACCAGCCGCACTGTATCAGAAATAAAAACCCGCTTCTTTCTCTATGACATTTTTTTCAACTGGTCACAATTATTTTACTGATGGTGCCAATACTAAAGTAAAGTGCTTTATTATATGTAAATTATGTATTTATATAGTTTTAGTACAAGGAATATACAACAGAAGAAGCAAACAACTTTTTAAACGCGAATGAACAGGACTTGACAGATCTATACAACGTAAAACAAATTCTACTTGCTCTTGGACAGGTGAATAGTTTATTATTATTATTAAAATACAACTTGCTGAACTATGAATTAGACAAAAGATCCATTGACAGATGAACGATGGTTCAACATTCTATTCAAACTCATTTCTTTACTGATAATCAATCAAGAGACACAAGCCAATGCTTATGAGGCTATTGAATATTTAGCAGACAGACTTGACTATGATCAATTATTGGAACAACTTATGGATAAGCTTATCTGCTTTGAATGGGACCACAAAGACGATAAAAACAAGTGTCTTGAAATAGCAAAGGAATACACCATTTATGTTGAACTATTTGGAAGGGCAATAGAAAAGATATCGAGACCTAAGGAATGGATGTTATATCTACCTTTTCTTACAAACCATTTGCAAAAGGCCATGGAGTCCATTGAGCCTGTCTTGATCAACAAATGCGCGCTCTTTCAACGGAAAAAGCCATTTTCAAACTGGGATCAATCTGTTTTGCTCGTGGTAGGATGTATTTTGGATTTCACAGAGTTTGTCCACTCAGTCACTGTCTCTCAAAGCCCTTCAGAATTCAGAGTAAGAAAGGATGAAAAAACAAAAAGCTTTCATTCTGATTTCTTTCTTTATAGGCTGATTATGATGATATCGGTTTACAGGATGGAGATGTAAAGAGGAGATATTTAGGCTATTTTCTTTTAAATATGGTGTATGAAAAGGTCATTTTAAATTTGGATATGCAACTATCAAATAAGTACTTTGAAAAACACTATTCGAAATATAGCATGAAAAGATCTGTAGAGCAGCAAGAGGATAATGAGTATATGCTCAAACTTACTCAACGTTGTATGGTAAGAGAGTATCGTATGTGTATACTGTCTGTAGATTAAACTTGAATAGACATTGGCTAATACATATGAGTTTTCATATGAGAAAATGTTTCAACTTTTGAATTCTATTAAACGTAAGCAATCTTATCTTCCTCCAGGTAAAAAAGAATACCCAAAAAAAAAGATAGTTATTTAATATATACAAATAGATGAAGAAGTAATAGAAAATGACAGACAAATGATAAACGTCAGATTATATCCACTAAATTACGAAGGCATTGCTTCATTACTCTCCATTTCACTATATAACCAGCTTGCCTCTCAGCATACAATCGATCTGGATGCTTTTGATTTAGCAAAGACATATATCGGTATTCTTATACATCTGATGATGCAGTAAGTTCAAATGAAACAAGATAGAAAAAAGTCATTATTTATTTGCTATAAGCAGACCATCGGACAGAATCAACGCGATTGACAAAGCAATATTTGTTGCACTTTATATCTCAGACAAGATACATGTTAACCTGAGCATGGAAGATATCGAAACGATAATTGAAGATCCTGCTGAAATAGGGGTAGGTATTCCTGTCACCAGAATATTCCAAGTTGTATCCTCCGTAGCATCGACGTGTCCTGATGCCTCTATCCGATTCTTTGCCTATCACCTGGTTCGTAAATTCTTGGCATTTGGAAATGAACAAGTAAAGGTGTTTCTGTATCAGGAGTTACTAGATGGGTGTCCCTTCCCCTCAATGAAAACTGCAGCTATAGGTATATTGAAAGATCAGATCGACCAGTCCTTTCAGGATGATAAGGGCGTGTTTGCAAGTCCATTGGTCATTGACGTGTTCTTTCCATTGATATTCAAAGTAAATAAGGCTTGGTCACAAAGACCCAGTGAATTTTGGAATGACTACAGTCATGTTATGCAAGCACTGAATCTCTATTATTATCTATTATTAAGAGACAGGCATAACAGAGTAAGCTATCATTCAAGTTCTGTTTTATATATACTCATTTTAGCAATAGACAGCAGTATGGACAAATCAGAATATAAGCAAGATGAATAAAGAGTATATCACACCCATCAGACACTGTTTGGATACTATTGCCGTCATGCCAATCAACAACGATAACCAAATTTATATCACACAGATTGATTTATTGAGCGACTCACTTGACAAAGTAATGCAAGTCATAAAAAAGGGCAATCTATCGGGATTCTAATGATTGTGTGCCACCTGATTCGGGATGAATGACTGCATAAATGTAGGAGTGAATGATGGTCATTTCTCTTTTTCCTTATTTTGTTTATAAATAAAAATAAAAACATGGACACTGGAAACCACAACGTTTTACAGTTTGTGTCTGCGGCTGCTCAGATTGTAAGATACGCTTATTTTATATCATAAGCTCATGCTTTATATATATATATATATAGTTTGAAAAACAAGAAACAGAGGATATGGAAGGTAAATAAGGTGAACTACCTTCACTTTATAACTAATACACTCCAAAGCCTCGTCTTCTTCTATCAACACGACTGGTAACTAAGCAAACGAAGAAACGAGTATAACTACTAATCACAAGGTCACTAGAATTGTTACAGTCTTCAGATGCTTTATTCAATCAAACAAGTCATTGGAGTATGACTGATCAGCAATTAACATCAGATCATAATGCTACCATTGAAGAAAAGTCAAGTCAGATAAAAGAGCTTTTAGCAGAAGCAACAGGAATTATCTACGAGGAACCTAAAACAACCTTACCGTCCAGACATAATCTACCCATGACTTTAGAAGAGCGACTCAAGGTAGTATTCAACTTGCCATCGAGCGAAGTATTAAGAGGAGGTAAGAGATAAAGCGCTGTGTGTGTGTATATGCTTCTTTTTAATTCACATCCATATTAGAATGGATCTGTTATATTGTACAATCTGCTCTAGTTCCTGGATGTATGTATCTGACGGATAACTTTATATGTTTTTATGCTTCTTTACCAAAAGGACAGGTAAGTTCAATTGAAACGTGCCTCATTTAATGTTTACACACAACATTCCATTAGCTTCAGTTCCATAAATCAGGATACCTTTTGATAAAAAGAGCGGGTAAAATGAAAAGCAATTATGAACGATACTACTTTGATATCCAGAATGATGTACTGGCGTGGTATGAAAATCCTACAGATAACTACTCACCATTGGGTAAAATTGATCTCAAGTCCATATTGGCTATTCGTCAATCTGTCAAACGAAAGTATGGATTTAGAATTAAGACAACTACAAAGAATTGGCATTTCCAAGCAGATACAAAGGCGGCCATGATTGAATGGTACAGACCATATATAACAAAGGCCAGCAAAAACTGAATGATTTTATAGGACCAATGCTTTACAAAAGGCGATATTTAAGGCAAACAACAGTGGGTCGAACCTAAAGATCATATTACCTTTTCAAAATGTGTTGGATATCGAGCAAACAGAGGCATTTGAATTTCAAAAGTTTTTAAAGATAAGAGCTGTCGGTATCGATGATAGCTTTGTGGTGGATGAAGTAAGAATACACCAATGTATATGTGGAATATTAACAGAGTTGTTTTCTATTAGTATTATTTCTCTTATTTTGCAGATATCGAAAATACATTCCAGCATCTCAAGTCAGCATGGGAAAGTCATTCATCCTTTCAACAGACATCCAGCACGCCTATCAGCCAATCACCCACATTATCCATATCTGACCTACACGAATCTGAACCTCCGTCTGTTCCTTCGAGCACAATCAAGCGCATGAACACAGTGGTGTCCAGCGCATTATCCGTACCAGGAGCTATCAAAGACTACTTATACCCTTCCATCTCTTCTAATAGTAAAAAACCAGCAGAAAAACTAGAGGAATCGTCAAGCTCAGGTGATGAGGATTATCAGGCTATTGGCTGGTTACACGGCAAACGTCAATCAGGGATGAAATTGGTCTATGGACTTTTAGGCGGAGCAGCTGGCAGCCCTTCGATTGCCTTGGAGAATGAAGATGAAGAAGAGGACGAAGAAGATGATGATCCTGTCAATAGAGCCGATGAAGCTGAAGTATTAGATGATCGTACCATTACCAATTTTCGAAAATACTTTGTTTTACCAGAAACCGAAAAACTTCTTACAGGCAAACATTGAACATACACACACATCAACAAAGTAACTTATATGTTATATATATATAGTCTATAGATGTTCCTATATGAAAACACTTCCTTGCTATGGAAAGTTGTATATTTCCACAAACTATATTTCATTTAATTCCAAAGGATTTGCGTCCAAGGCAAAGGTAATATAATAGTGACACCCTACGATTGCTTCTTATATACTCTTTATAAAAAAGATCATTATTCCCTTTACAGATGTCATAAGGGTACAAAAGTTAAGAAGTCGCGGCTACATATTTCACTCTTTAAGCATCACAACACAAACAAAACGAGAGATATTTCTAGAGTTTTCATCCATTTCTAGACGCAATAGTTGTTTTGCAAGTCTCTTTATTCAACATAAACGTGTCTTGGAATCAGAGCCAGATAAGGCAGAAGAGTAAATTGGTTTATATATGCTTACAACTTTAGCTAAAAGAGTTTACACGTAGAACGATACGAGATTGGGAAGCCAAGTTGATGGAAGATGAGCTAAGAGACAATCAATTGGATCACGTCGTTCCTCAAAATGCAACATTGCCTATCCTTTCGCGGAGCATGTCAAGTGAATCGATTGTGTATAAAAAGCCTGAAAGGTCGTTGCATTTCACGTGCATCACTATTGGCACAAGAGGTGACGTGCAGCCCTATATTGCTTTATGTAAAGGCCTGATGAAGGATGGTCATAGGTGCAGGATAGCAACCCATGATGAGTTTAAGGATTGGATAGAGGAGCATGGCATTGAATTTAGAACAGTCGGTGGAGATCCTGGAGAGCTGATGGTAAAATAAAAATAGATGATGGTAATATAAACAAGCCAATATCTTTTTTTTTAGAGGATTTGTGTGGAAAACAATTTCTTCAGTGTGAACTTTGTTAGAGAGGGTCTGAGATTGGTAAGTTACAAGAGTGAGAGCATATACATACTAAAGATGAAAATGATAGTTTAAGGATTGGATTGATGAATTACTTTCTCTTACATGGGAAGCCGTCCAGGGCACCGACGTCATCATTGAAAGTCCAAGCGCAATGGTTGGAATCCATATGGCTGAAGCACTTGGTAAGTGATAAAAAAAGCATGTACCCTTATCTCGCATACCATTTCATAGGAGTACCCTATTTCAGATCATTTCCTATGCCAATGACCCGCACTCGATCATTTCCACATCCATTTGCAACACCCAATCACCCCAAGGGCCGGCTCTATAACGACATGACCTATGTTCTATTCGATTATGCTGTATGGAGAGCCATAGCAAGCCGAACGAATGCGTTTAGAAAGAACATACTGAAAATACCTGCCACAAGTTATGAAAAACTAGAAGTTTGGAAAATACCCTACCTTTACTCATTTAGCCCTAATATTGTGCCAAGCCCACTCGACTGGCTGGACTGGATTCACTGCACTGGATACTGGTTCCTTGACAACCCCCAAACAGGCTGGAAACCTGAGGAGAAGCTAAAGGCATTTGTTGAATCCAAAGATACCCGTCCCCTTGTTTATATCGGATTCGGTTCTATTATTGTCTCTGATCCAAAGGAGATCACTCGCATCATCGTCGAATCTGTCTTGCTCTCGAATGTGAGGGCAATTGTATCCAGAGGATGGTCCTCAAGACTCCAGGGTGTTGCTCATGAAGAAGATGACATCTTAAAGAAACACCCTGATACGATATTCAGCATTCAGTCTGTGCCTCATGACTGGCTGTTTCCTCAAGTACGTGCTGTCGTTCATCATGGTGGAGCAGGCACGACAGCAGCAGGATTAAGAGCAGGAAGACCCACGATCATCAAACCCTTCTTTGCCGACCAATTCTTTTGGGGAGAACGTGTAGAAGAGATGGGAATTGGCCGATGTATCAAAAAGCTAACGGTCGAGAGCTTGTCAGCAGCACTTCGTGTAGTCTCTACGGATGATCATATGTTAAAATTAGCAAAGAAAGTGGGAGAAAAGATCTCATCGGTAAAAAAATACTTGTGGTTTGTTTCTCTTTTTACTTATTCACATATATAGGAAGCGGGTGTTGATACAGCCATTCAGTGTATCTACCGTGATATGGAACTTGCCAAGGCTCGAACACTCTCTTCTATACAAGGAAATGCCTGTACGAATGATCAAGAGTATATAGAAGAGGATTGGACATTGATTGATGAAGCAACCGCATCTGGTTCAATATCCCCTGAAACGTGGATGTTGAAAGAACAAAGAGAAAGCACATAAAGAACAAGATAATCGTATCATCTTTTTAATAAAGTATATTTACAAGGTGTGATATTAAGCTGCATTCACTCTTAAACTGGCTTCTGTTGTGATTGCTTCAATAACGTCTAGTTTCAGTAACTCCTTGACTGAGTACTCTAATGAAGCTTCATAGGTATATACAATAATTGAATCGTTAATGTGCATATATTGTTTAGCCAATGCTGCAATGCAGTTCGTAACACGAGCAATTTCCTGTCGTTCATCCTCAGTAACAGGCTATGTATATGTAGAATGAGTATGACCATCTTGGATATTTTACATGCTACTTACATCATTTATGCTTGAGTATTGAACAGAAGCATCGTTATCATCGCCTGATAATCCCTCAAACTTCTTATGTACCCAGATATATCCATTTAAGCCAAGAATAACATCCACACCACAAGGAAGTGAGTGAAATTGCGACTTACATCGTTGCACCAGTACAGGCGGCACACAGATAAAGGAACCGTTTCGTAGCTTACAGAATTTGAATCCACGCGTATGAAGTCCAATGGTTCCATCTGAATAGAACGTCTGCACTTCAGCCTAGATATGGAATTATTGTTTATTCACTTTTTTTTGTATTGTATACTCTACCACTAACACGTCTCCTTCTGCAAAGAATTGTCTCATTTGGAGTTCATCGGCTTCGTTTTTACGTCTCTAAAATAATAAATGAACAAATTGATCTTTACCATTTTTAATGTCTCTTACCTGAACACCTCCTGGAAGACTAACAGAACTGAGTAAAAGGTTGGCATCCTGTTTAGAATTGACATCGACTTTCCAACGTCGCATGGCCACTTCAGTGATGCGACCAACGACAATATCACCAATTTCAGCAGTATATCGAGTCTTTAAGGGTCTGACGGATAATAACTTGTTGACTTTTTCTACAACACCTGTCACAGATGAAATGACGGCGCCTTCTCCATCAGTATAGGTACCATGACCTCGCATGAATTGTTGATCCATCGTTACTGTCTCACCAGGATTGACCAAGTGAGCTTCTTCACCGTCAATTTGCATGCGTTCATTTGCTGTTTTGGTTGTTTTGGTAGGTACAGGCGATAATACAGTGAGATCCATCTTGATCAATCAAAAAACAAAAAAAAGAAGAAAAAACCTTGGGGGCTTGTGTAGTAATTTTTTAAAGTCTCTTTTTTCTTTCCCTGAGAAATGAAGGAAGGAAGAGAGGGGATCTATTGGAACTATGACTTGTCTTTCTCTATAAATAGTGTACTGTGCATGTGCTAAAAGGCTTGAGCATCAGCTTTTACACTTTGTTCAGAAATGATTCGCACACTGCTAGAAAAATGATAGCTTCAGACAACAAACAATGATAAAAGAGAGCCCACAAGAAGCAAAAGAATGAGATATAAAAGAACTGTTTAGTAAATCAGTTACGTTTTACTTATAAGTGCTGACCACATTATATGAGTGCCTCTATCAAAAACATTAAGCTCATTTTATGCGTTATTACACGCTGTCTTTTATGCAATAAAGAAATGATAGATAACCAACAAAAGTGCAATAATTATTGATATTATATTATATGCCAATAATTTCTAAAGAAGCTTTTATACAAGTGTTTATCGAAAAAAACATTCTTATCAAGATCTTTGTATTTTTAAACTTTTCAGTAACACTTAGTGAATATGAAACTGCTTGTCAACTTCATAGTTATCAACAGCTATGTGAGTGACATTTTTTATGGGTATCTATATTCGCTTAGTGCTCTGATAAAGACATTATTATACTTAGAGTTTACCTTATAAACTCCTTTAATTCATCGATATTAGTTGTGGATCTTGTTGTAGGTTAGGCGTACGATCATTATAAGCATCGTTTTACATGGATATATTTGAGCGTGTCTTTACAAAGAAAGAAAACTTGTTATATATTGTGTCAGTTTCATATTTCTTTTTTGCCCCGAGTTATCACCACTGCATTGGCGCGAAAACGGAATTATATCCTTGTTGACACTTATATCACGAGAAGTACTGTAAGGTTATATATTTGAGTAATTATCTCATTAAACAAGTCACAGGCACCTACCACAAACAAGCTCTTACACTGAACGAGCAACCGGTGGTTTGATGTCGCAAAGATATAAATATTGTTACAAGGGTGAATCAATAAACAACGCCGATTAATTCGCTTTAGTTGTTGTATTGTCTTGGGTAGGAGGAGGCCTACCGTTTTACTGTTTGTTTAATTGTGTTTTGCTTTATTGTCTCTCTTACAAACACTTCTCAACCTAAACAACTCGCGGGTCATTCATATATACAAAGCTACTGAGTGCGTAGTTTTCGTTTCTGGCGCTGCATTTCCTCTCGTAATTTCATTCTGGTCGCGTCGTTAGTTGCGATAAGTGATCGTGTTATTTTTTGCTTTTCAGCCTACAAGAAAGTATATAAGCAAGAGCGTAATGTGATGATGTTATATATTTACAATAGTGTCAAACAATTCTTCTACGGATATCGATTGCCTGCGAGTGATTTTGTTTGTTTCAAGTTCCTGTATTTGCTGTTGTAAAGTCCTAACTTGTTCTCTTGTTAATTGAACTTCTGTACGAACTTGTCGACAGGCAGCTTTTAGCCTTAGGCTTTTTCTAATCGTAATAAAAAAAAAGTTTATTAGTGCTCAATCATAGATAAACGTGTATTACTTACATGTATGCTCCTTGTATTTTGGGATCCTTGTATAATTCTTTAATTCTTTCTGATAGTTTAATTTCTTCCTCCCTTGTTTCACGCTCCAGCTTTTTCTTTGCTAGAAACAGCCTTCGGCTCTCCATGACTCTTTCAGCATACTTCTTTTTTACTTGCTTATATATCGCTCTTTTATCAGCATATTCTTTGTCAGAATCATCCTTTTGCTGCTGTTGCATGTTTTCATTTTTTAATTTTAAAGAGGATTCCTTTATAAATTTGTTCACTTGCTTAAAATAATCTGCATTGGATGATACATTTTCCAGCAGTGGTCGTATCGCTGTTAGTTGATCTGATGTCACACTTGTTTTGGATGCATATTGGTGCTCAATAAGCTGTTCTAGCTTATCACGTATTGGTTCTAATTCAGGCAAGTCTTTCTTATCAGTAGATATTCTTCTCTTCTTCATGGTTCTCTTCTGTTCTGCAATCAATTCCACATAATCTTTTTCCATTTCCTTACGCTTTAGCACATGTCGTTTCTTTTTGAATAAAGACTTTTCTACTTGACCAATGTGCATTTCTATACAACAAGTTAATTTTATACACACTCGTATTAAATATAAACAAACATGTACCAAGCTCAGCTATCTTTTGCATCATGTCGTCGTTTCTCTTTTTACGTTCTTCACATTGTTCTTTAAACTGATCCATTTTTTTTATTTATAAAAGATTAGAGAGAATAGAGAGAGAAAAAGAGGGGGAAAAGAGTTAAAAAAAAAATACGTTTATTAAAAATTACGCCTTTTTCCAATTGGCCCATTCAGCAAGTGTATCATCATCAATATAGTCGTATCTCATAATAAGCCCGTCTTCACCAGCAGACACAATTTGCCTTGGTAATAATGAGTAATGATATTTAAGATTGTTATCCTCTTATTCTTACCTGCAATCTCTAGAGAATACACAACATCGAATAGCCTTCGTTGATCTTCTATGACCCAACTCTGATACCATATTGCCTGTGTGTAGGTTGTAAATGAATAATGATCCATTGCTTGTACCCACACACACATAGGCTTCATCTAAACTGATATCGAATCTAGAGTAGTTTTCACCTGATCTCAACCTAATAGATTTGATAGTCTTTTCTGTATCTAGTTCCCAATATTCCAATTTGCCATTGATTGATTTTGATAAAACATTGTTATTTGCAAAACGAATACAATCTGTTAAACATTAGCTAATATTCTATAACTTTTTTTTTTTTCATTATTAGAGTTACCAATATAGTTATCACCATGCATTTTTTTTAGTAGACGCGAATGCTTCTTTGTTATCGTAATAGGCTCATCTTCCATGCCTGTCGCTGTTGGAATCTCCCACTCACGCAATTCACCTCTTGAATTACCAGTGATAAACTTTGTACCTGAAGGGTGGAAGCACTAAAGACACATAGATGAGCAGCCTTATTTCTATTTTTTCAATCAAATATTCTACCGAAGCTGTAGCATCGCATTCAAAAATAGCCAAGCAAGCACTTGCATCTATATCCCATAATCGCAGTGTGCCGTCCTTTGATGTTGACAGGATGATATTATCATTTTGAGGATGTGATTGTAAATCAAGAATGGTTTCTAATCACATCATCAGTTACTTTCATCCTTCTTTTATTTTCACACTCACTTTTATGCCCTTCCAGTACTTTAACTTCTTGTGAGTTGGCCAAGCTCAGGATATGAATTAAACTGTCTGCGCCCGCCGTGGCTAACCATGCATCTCCTTGTCTATATAACCAGCAAAATGTATAAAGCTCATGACTACTGCCATCTTCTTCAGTGATATCAAAATTAGACATAATATCCAAATGGTCTCCACAATGTTCATTATCATATACACTCAACTATACCTATCAATTAGACAACACTCTATCTTTTATTATTCTTTTCTACCTCGCATCCTCCCACGGTAGCTAATATATTGCTTGTATCTGTGCTATTTCTCTGTACTGCTCCTCTTTTGTCAAATGTCTTGTTGAGATCTAAACCACTTGGTGCACTAAAGTTTTTGTTGTTGAAGAAAAAAGCAATCTGGTTGATGTCTTGACCGTGATTCTCTTTTACGATTCTTCTTAATCGCATATTTCCAAACACATGTTCTTGTCTCTTATCACGAGGTTCATTTTGTTCGTTTTCTTTATTAGCTGTCATTTCAGAATATATATATATATTAAAAAAGAAGTATTTTTCTTTTTCTTTTTTTTTTTTCCTTTTCAGATACGCGTCTTCAGCAGCGCGCGAATATACGCGTTCCCCTCTTTTTTCCTCGCGGACTTGGTATTTCCTTTTGTTCTTGTAATCTCATATGAAGTAGTTTACAACATTAATGAATTACATTGACCAAAGAAAAACTTTGCTTTACAATACACACAATCCTAGTAGATCAAATCTCGAAATTGTTAGCTTTGCCATTAATAAATGTATGTAGCCTTCCGTCTTATATTGCGTGAATCAAACTCCCAAATTCAAGTAACACTCAGTAGACTTTCAGTTGGTGGTGACCCGTCCCAAAGAAAAAGAAAAACAGTTTACCAGAGAAATCCAAGCTGTTCTTTGTTTGGACATGAAGAATGGATGTTCACTCAAAGCACGTGAAATCAACCTCATTATTGCCTTGCCAGCAAAACGCTTCTGTTGATGATATCTTGGCTCAAGGCTCATGGTCTTCTCGGTGCCCCTTTATCAGATTTCATCTCGTCAGCTCTCAGCACTTCTCTGCAATAATAGCGCCCTCCAAAGTATAATGGTTCTAATGTAACGAGAGAGCAAGCGATATATGCCTCATAAATTTTTAACGACGAAAATATAAAACATGATCATTGATGAATGTTACGGAAACAGAATTCGGTAATCCATCAATTAAAAAGAGAAAATTCTGGTATTATTTCTGTAGATAATATCAATCCATACCTATCCAAAATAAAATGTGTGTCAATGTGTTTTTGAAAATGTGTGCTCATATGGTGAAGTGTGCCAAAGAGAATTTCCATCTTTGGGCAAGAAAAGCCTGTACCACATTGAAAGTCTTCGCCTGATTGTGCAGAGGTAACTAAGCCACATTTACATTGAGAGTCACGATTTTAAAGTACTAGATATAATCCAGGAAATTGACAACTGTCTCTTTAATCAATCCATTTATATAATTAAGCCATGGTAAAGGCATATCTTCGTTATGAGCCGCTTGCCACTTTTGGTGTCATTGCCTCAACGCAGTCCAACATTGTCTATGACCATACCGGCAAAGTTGCTATTACACCTGCCCTTGAAGAAGTCATTCTTTGGGATCTAAAGAAAGGAACTGAGGTAAGAACAAAAAAAGGGATCGGTAGAACAGAGTATACTTATGTAATATCAGATTGCAAGGTGGAAAGAACCTGGCAACAAAGCAGAAGTGACTAGTATTGCCAAAAGTCCCAACAACAAAGATTATGCAGTAGGGTAAATATAGATTACACATCCCTCTTGAAACTGTTAAAGTAAACCACTTTACCATTGTTTAGATATAATGACGGATCTATTCGTCTTTGGAATATTTCTTCTTCAACATCAACTGTCACTCTCAGTGGACATCGTGCAGCAGTAACAGCCTTAACCTTTGACCATGACGGCACTCGACTTGCTTCAGGATCCAAAGATACAGATTTGATTATTTGGGATATTATTTCAGAATCAGGATTGTACAGACTCAAGGGACATAAAGATCAAATCACTTGCCTCACATTTTTGGCTTCAAAAGGAACCGATGCTGAGAAGGCAGTGGGTACCTCGACCGAGGGTTATTTACTCTCATCCTCCAAGGACACGTTGATCAAATTATGGGACCTGTCTTCTCAGTACTGTCGTGAGACATTGGTGGGCCATCGAAGTGAAGTGTGGACCTTTGCAGTCTCAAAGGATCAAAAGGTTATCATCTCTGGTGGTGCAGAACCTCAGTTGAAGGCTTGGAAAATCGACTGGAACATCCTGGGTCTTTCTCTCGAAGAACTCGGCGAGCAAGTAAACAATAAAGACGAAAAGGATGCCACAGCAGCTGCCTCATTACAAAAGGCTATCAATATCTATGGAAACATTCCTCGTCAGTCCCGTGATCGTTTGGTGACCATCAGGTTCCATCCCTCAGGCAAATTTGTGGGCGTGCAAGCAAATGAGAAATCAGTAGAGATATATAGAGTACGCGATCATGAATATATTCGTAAGAAGATTCAGCGTAGAAAGAAGAGAGCAAGAGAGAAGGGAAAGGACGATAGTCAAGTGAGCGAAGAGATCACACCTGAGGATGAATTTGCTTCTGAGTACTTAATCCGTACACCTGCTAAAGTGCGTAGTTTTGATTTTTCACCTGCAACGAATGTGGAAAAAGCAGGCCAGCTTCAAATTGTCGTATCCCTTAGTAATAATGCATTAGAAGCATATACAATACCAATTGCCGAAAAGAAGACTGAAGAATCAAACGAGCCATCTAAACTGTATTCCCTTGATGTACCCGGTCATCGATCAGATATACGTACTCTGACTCTCAGCTCAGATGATGAGCTGTTGGCATCAGCATCAAACAATCTTTTAAAGGTATGGAACTTGAAGACAAGAACATGTATCCGTACCATGGAGTGTGGATTTGCCCTCTGCAGCGCATTTTTACCTGGTAATAAGCATATTCTGGTTGGTACAAAGACTGGTGAATTAGAACTATATGACCTTGGTTCCTCCGCCATGATTGAATCCGTCAAGGCTCATGATGGTGCAGTGTATTCTTTGCAAGTCCGCCCTGACAAACGCGGTTTTGTTACGGGCAGTGCAGACAAGGATGTCAAGTTTTGGGATTTCGATATGGTGCAAGACAAGAACAGCTCTGTGAAAAGATTGACGTTTATTCACATGCGTACACTCAAGATGTCTGATGAAGTTCTTTGTGTGCGATATAGCCCTAATCAGAACTTGATTGCTGTCTCCTTGTTAGATTCAACAGTCAAAGTGTTTTATCATGATACGCTCAAATTTTTCCTTTCCTTATATGGCCACAAACTCCCTGTCCTATCTATGGATATCTCCTCAGACAATACGCTCATTGCAACTTGTTCAGCAGATAAAAATGTCAAGCTTTGGGGCCTTGATTTTGGTGATTGTCACAAGTCTATATTTGCACATCAAGAAAGCATCATGTCTGTACAATTTGTCTGGGGCACACATTATTTCTTTACCGTGAGTAAAGATAAGACAGTGAAGTACTGGGACGGTGATAAGGTATGTAATAAGACTGAAATATGATGTGCATAAGTGATACTTATATGAACTATGATAGTTTGAAAATATAATGAAATTAGAAGGACACCATGGTGAAGTATGGGCTTTGGTTGTTGCAAAGCATGGCTCTCTGGTTGTCACAGGCTCACATGATAGATCTATACGTATTTGGGAGAAAACAGATGAACAGTTGTTCCTTGAGGAAGAACGCGAAAGAGAACTTGAAGAGATGTATGAAAATACGCTTGTTAGCCAAATGGAAAAGGCAAATGTAAATGGCGATGATATGGAAATTGATTCAGCTGGAAAACAGACCATGGAAACACTAAAGGCAGGTGAAAGGCTAATGGAAGCAATGGATATTGGTGATGAAGAAAAGAACGGATGGCTTGCTTATGAAGCAGGCAAGGCCAAGGGCTTAGACGTGCCGCCTCCTAAACGACATCCTCTACTACTGGCAATGGGCGACATTGAGCCAGATAGATATGTGCTTAATGTGCTTCAAAAGATCAAAGCAAATGAGTTAGAAGAGGCACTGTTAGTGCTACCTTTCTCCAAGGTCATGTCTTTGTTTTCATATATCGAAAGCTGGGCTAAAAAGGTAAAGGATAACTTGTTTACACACCTGTAAGCTTTATAATTAATCTATGTGAATTCATTAGAATTGGAACATTATTTTAGTATCAAGAGTTCTTTTCTACATTGTCAAGGCCCACCATAATCAAATTGTAGCTAACCGTATGATGCGTCCTATGCTTGACTCCATCCGATTCCACTTACGTACACAACTTCAGCGCCAGAAAGACATTATGGGCTATAATAGAGCAGCATTAACATACCTACAGCAGGATTGGAAATCAAGAAACACAGCCGAGTTCATTGACGAGACTACCGCTGTTAATGGAAAGCTAGGAGATGAAGACAAGAAGCGTAAGTTTGTCAAGCTTACTGTATAGACTTTTTTTTTTTTTGCAGCATAAACAATAGCATCGAATAAAAACTTTCATATTTTGCTTTTGCATTTTTAATGTTCAAAATGTTTATTTTATTTTATGTTTACATTTATCGTCCCCTTGAAATTAATGCTGATGGTTAGTAGAGAAGAGATTTATCACTATAGATAATGAATGGAAATAATATAAAAGTCTATATTTTCAGGACAAGATTTGGAAATATTATAGACTGAAATAGGAATATTTAAGCCGAAACTCATAAAAGACAACCTTAACACCATTCGCAATCTGACTGGTTGAATAAAAGTACATTTGTGAGTAAAGCCTAAAGAAGAGTCAACACACATCCTTCAAGCTATATTTTTAATAGAGATCATCTTCTGTCATTGTATTCACTGAGTTGTTTGATTCCACGCTAAAGCCGATGCCAAATGTTACGACGGCATAAGTTTATTGGACCTGAGAAACGGACGTGATTTTATTGATTAAATGAATTTTGATAAATGAACAACAATAATCTCTTTCACTTTTTGCTCTTTTTGCTTCAAATGAAAAGAAATTCTACATCATCCAGCTCAGAGAGACCTTCAAAAGGCGCAAAGCTAAATGAATGTAAAGTATTCAATCTTGTTCATTATCAGTCAATATTTAACATTATTCTGGTATAGGTACAGTAGCACCAACTCAAGAAGCGGATTATTCCAGCACAGTAAATCAAGAAGGTGCCTCTTCTTCCTCAAGTAAACCAGGGCTTTTGAAAAAAGCACAACAAAAGGCTGATAAGCAAAATGCACTTTTAAAATTCAAAACAGAGCAAAAGGCTCTAAAGGAAGTCAAATGCCCCTCATGTGGATAAACAACACACGCGCGATCAACGAGTAACTTGTGCTCAAACAAGAAAGCAAAAATACCTGTTTGCAGTCCTGATGAAAGGGTTGAAAACTTTGTAATCAAGACATCCTTACCAAATATTTGTAACAATCAGCAACTTGTTCAGTATATCAAGGATCTAGCAGACTACACCACCAAAGTTTTGTTTGTGGGAACCCTTTTTGCCAACTTCATCTTCATCAAACTGTTCGATGATGGCCAGGCTATTCCAATTATTGAACAAAGTTTATTCACAAATATATTTGCGGTAATGACTGGAAATAGAAAGAGAGCACCAAACTATCTCAAAGAATACTTCACTCTTTTCTGTGAATTGACAACTGTAGACTACAATTCTTTAAAAAGTATAAACTATTCAAGTATTCTTTCCATCGCTGGTAAGCAATACGAAGTCCTGGTTAGAAATCACATTCACGAGACACACGAACGAAGATCGATAACGTACTTTCTGAATATGATGTCTGACAACAATTCAAGTAATTGTTGTAAGGAGCTGCCAGTGGATTCCAGAAAAACCTTGGCATATTTCATTTACAAACAAAAACAAGGTTCAGAGCCACCTTGACCATCGTCTGTCCCATGCAGTAACTACTATAAAGAAACCACTGAAAGCATAGAAAGCATGTGGTCTAAATACCAACCAGATCAATGTGATTCCGGTACGCTTTACTCAGAACCTCACCTGTTTTTCAAGTGGTTCTACTTTCTGTCGCGAGAAGTGCAAAAAAAAAGTTTCTATTATGGAAAACGTACCCTCAAAAGTCGCTTCCAAAGCGCATGTGTATGGTAAACTCAGAGAGCTTCCATTCACTGGTATTTTGAGCAAAAAGAAGTTTAATTCTTTAAGAGAAGAAACATTGCAGTCAATCAATTCCAACAAGACGTTTGCTCCAGGTAAAAAAAAACTAGCCAAGCTTACTCCTCAACAAGTATCAGTAGTTCAAAATTTTATTGATACAGTTAAAACAAGAGTACAAGATGGCACGTTCACTCCTGCTAAATACACTGACAAAAGAGGATGTCGCTTTTTTTCCATTGCGCCTATATATTCCGTTCAGACAAAATCAATCCAAATTGATGCTCAGGCTTTTTGGAGACTGGTGAAACAATGTGGCATACCAAATTACCCGAAGGGGAAGAAAACCGAGTCTGACTTGACTGATTTTTACTACCATTTGTTCAATTTTACAAAATTGGGATTTCGTACTAGAGACAGTCTTACGAGTGGGAAGAAGTTTAGGTAAGCTATGTGTAAAATAATAATATAATACAGGCATATCTAATTATCATTAATAAAAACGCTATAACGATGGACGGTCATTCAATATCTTTTCTTTTTACCCGAACTGTCAAGAGATCTTTGGCAACAACTAAAAAACCCTCAGATTTTATTGATGGCATCCGAAATGATTATGATATTTGGGGAGTAGACCCAGGTGTTTCTACAATCTTAATCGCCGTAGATACATCTGGAAGGCAAAGGGCAACAATTTGGACGAGTATTATCATCTGTGTTGCTATAATGATGCAAATTTTATACGAAAGAAGCATCAAGAACAACACACGGCTCAGTTTTTGAAAATTTCTAATTTAAGATCACTGAAGACATCAAATATCACAGAGTTTGCAAAAGCCTGACAAGAAAGACTCAGTTTGTATGATGATATTACAAGTTACTATAATGAAAATGCCTGGTAAGTGCAAAGTATGATTTTTTTTTTTTTTTTTTACTTGTTTATTTAAGCAAGCGAAATTCTGTAGATCATCAAAATTGAAGTTTCAATGCTATATTCGTAAACAAAAAGGGATGCATGAAATCTGCAAACGGTTAATGCACGGAAGTGTAAAGTATAACAAGAAGGCGTCTACTGGGGTCAAGACATCGTCTGCTGAAAATGAAAGCAAATATTGTCCTCCTGCTCCTCTTGATCATCCTGACAAGCCCAGAAAAACAATAATTGCTTTTGGTGATTGTATGTTTAACAGCAGCCTGAGGGGAAACAGAGGGGCACCTGTCCGCCTTATAAAAAGGCTTTGCAAAAATATTGCGGAAACCAATTAGAAATATGTATGGTAGATGAATATTTGACATATCAAATATGCAACAGGTGTAAAAATAGAAATATGGGCAATGTTGTAACTGAGAAGTCAAAACGAAGAGTACATACGATATTGAAGTGTAAACAAAACACTTGCAACATCGTATAGAATCGTGATATCATGGCTGCACACAATATCTTGGACATATTTCTATTCGCTGCAAAAAACAACAACCAGCGTCTTGAAGTTTTCATGCGTCAAGGTATATCTAATGGCTAACCTTCCGTATGACTGATATGACTCTCTCATACGTCCTTACAGTGTAAGTTGTATTAACTATGTCTGAATTTAAAAGTGCGGAAGCTATAACTAAACATTTTTGTTAATGTTGAAACATAGCATCTTTGGCTAGTATCCAGATGATACCACAATAATTATAACAAAAAAAAAAGATATTAACAAGAGTATTAAAAGCTAATTTCTCAAAGATATATATAAACCCTCTTCGTAGATCAAAAATTCTCAAAGTTGATCTTATCAATGCAGCATATTAATAGGACGTTACGCTAAGCATAGGGCATTGATTACAAAAATTGCTGTCTGCTGAAAAAAATAAAAGTGCAAAAGTACATCGTATTCATCCAAAGTGATTAGAGTTAACTTTGTAGCAAGTTTGAACCTTGGTTGACTTGAATATGAACGAACATGGTTTCAATTGTTATTGGATACGGGTACACTTTCTGTATTCAGGTTGTGATACTGAAATTGGTGCATTCTATCCAGCAACGAGCTTAAATAATGCAGTATCCATAAGTATGAGTAAAAACGCGCTGGGCTTTTTTTTAAGCAGATGGTTGATAAAAGAAAAGTACTGCGTTGTAAAAAGTCTATCAAATCATGTAAAGTAAAACACGACAAGCGCTTATTTTATCGACAAAACAAAAATAAAGACGAATCAATCATCAAATATGTTTAAGCTTATTTATCACAAAACATCGTAGTTCAGACTATTCAGGTGATGCATTCCGCTAAAATACTCGCCTCCTTTTTTTTAAAAAATTAATCTCTTACATAAACTTGATAGAGTCAGCAGATATTTCCACTTTTCTTTTTTGAAGCATTCAGAATATTCCGATTCTCCTAGAAATGTTCTCTTGTCTATAATCTATCAGAATGATTCAAGTACGAGGACTTGTTTAATAATTTTTTTAGAAGATCCAAGAACTCACATGCCACGCCAACTTTATTGACTATAAAATAAATTCAAAAGACGATTCCTTTTTTTTTATCAAACGCACTCTTATTTTTTCGTTTTTTAAAAAAATGTTCTTCAAAAATCTCTTCTCGCGCTCACGTATATCGTCTGTTGGCTCCTTCCTAGTGAAGACAAAAACTGTACTCTTAAAAACAACTTTTAGAATTGCCTTCAGAATAACTTCTATCCTGGTACGCGGTGTATGGAAAATTTTTCTCTGCATTGCTTGCAACGCCTTGGCAGTGATACTTACTTCTCTGGCAATTGTCTCAGAGGAAATCAAGGGTGCCATTTGTACATACTAAATTGGCCTCTTGATTCCTTTGAGGCTTGTGTATATTGTATACATTTTTGTATTTATATTTATGTATATTACTTTGTACACATCCTCAGCTTGCAAATATGGTGCTGAAGCCCTGTTCCCTTCTAATCTATCGTCATCTCTCTTTCTCTCTCTCTTTCCGCCTGTCTGCCTGCCTTTTTCTGTGCCTCTTCCTCCTTCTACCTCTCTTTGGCGATCGCGGCAAAAAATTGAACATGGATATAAAAAAAAAGAAGGATAGTAATAATAATCAGGGCACAAACCAAATCTATAATTTATCAAGCGTGAACGGCGGCCTACCTTCTACATACAGTGGACTCTCGATTACGGAATACCTATCGAGAGCACGAATGGCATTCCGTAATAAAATTTATACACCGATAATTCAGGTGAATATCACAGGAAATTTAAAGTGGCGTCTGTGAAGCCCTTCGAAAATGACATTCCATTATCGCAAATACTCCGTATTGCTGTATTCCGTAATCGAAAGCCTACTATATATCATTAGCAAGTACATTTAGATATAAAAATGAACATAGAAAACATAAAAATCTCAGGCTGGTGACTCAATATCCGCTATAACATGAACCGTGGCCAAAAGGGGTCCGTCGTAGTGTAGAATTTCTGGCTATTAGAATCCACATCAAAACTCGTTCACATCTTGTAAAAGTCATTCTTATTTGTAAATCATTTGTATAAAATAAAAAGTTGCTTTTATTGCTCATCCTTAATTATCTCTTGACTGATCTTGTTGTGTGAAACCTGCTGCATTATAAAATCGCTTGTACACTCAGCCCATAGCAACAGCACGCTTAATACACGCTCAATGTAGGAAGATGTGATCAGCCATTTAGTTTGTATAGCATTACTTTCACAATACAACAGACTTACTATACATCCTATTAAGTATATATTGCTATGGTAAACAGAAAAAGAAAAAAAAAAAGATAGATAAGCAGATAGATATAAATAGACAATTAAGGGGTAGTAGCTCAATTTAGGGCTCCGTTTTTTGACGATGAAAACAAATTCCATGTGATCTTTCTTTTCATTTCTTTTACAGC